GGATAGATGAAATTTTCCCGAGCAGGAAGAACAAGAGTTATTAAAAATAGAAACTTGAAGTAGAGAAAAACTAGGTGGTGAATATTGAAGTGATGGACTTGTCTGTGGCAGCATTAATAATGACCCAATAATGACAAATACTACCTCTTTACCTTGTCAGGGCAATTGTGGTAAATTTGGAATGGTAATAATCGAAAGCAATGCTAATGTTGACGATAAAAGAAAAAAATACACAGTAAAATACGACTGTTATCAAAACGACTACACTCATTACACTTGTGCTAATTGTTATGAAAAGAAAGGCAATAACAACTCTAAACCAACCATCCCCAATTCCATTCGGGAATATTTCCACCAAAATAATATTGAAGAATTAAAATTAGAAAATAATAATTGAATAATTACTTATAAAGATAAAACTAAAAAAACTGTTTCCACTACTACTCCTGAATTATCCGAACTCCAAACTTATTTCCAACAACAAGGCATTAATTCTTTGTCGGCCTCGGAATTAGATACTAATACTGGTTCTCCTGACAAAAATAATTACTGACCCTGAATATTAGGTATCGGGGGAATATTTATAATAGGAATAATAATTATTTACTTCCTATTTAGGAAAAAGAAATAATATTACTCATTCATATTCTCCACCCACCCCTCAATCATTTCAGGCTTAAAACACTCACAACCTTTTCTATGTTGTTGATTTTTATCAGTAGCAAACGGACAGGCTGGTCGGTTTCTTTTAGGGTCTCCGTGGTCTAACTCTCATTCTTGGGTCAAGGGTCAATCATAATTATGCCAATCCTCGGGCAACATTCCCTCCCCTTCTAACAAAAATACTTCATAAACTAATCTCTGAATATTGCTTTTTAATTGTCTCACTCCTCATTCTTTACACAAACATTTCTTAATCAAATCTAAATCAAATTTATCTTTTAACCTACTAATTTCATACTTGGCAAAATTATAATCAATTAATCCTTGGGCTACTTCTATTCGTTCGGCAAAAGTAAGAGGTTCAATTTTTACTCTGGTTAATCTACTTAATAAAAAAGGTTCAATATCCTCGGGATAATTAGCCGTGCAGAAAAAAATAACTTCATTTATCGGCACAGGAAAATCAAAAAAGACATCTTTAAACTTTTTATTTAAGGTTTCATCCGTTAAATTCCCTAATACTTGCTGGACGGATTTATCACATTTCTCAAAC